ACTATGAGACAGTTACTAAATCTGTTTTATAGATGAGAAAACTTGAAGCTAAAGATGAGGTAATTTGATTAAGGTCATGCTGTAAAGAAGAGATAAAAAGTGGGATTCTAATGTGATCTAATGATTACAAAAGAGCCTGTGATCTTCATTATGCCCTGCCTTCACTGTATTTTTTTTAAAAAAGAAGAAAAAGCTATTACTACAAAACTATTACTTGAGTAGTTTAAAATCTCCACAACCTTATGAGTTTCTGATAAAAAATTCCTTGAGAAAAACGAATAATCATATCTGACTTTATTGTTTATAGGTTATGATGCGTGATCAAAACCGAAAGTTTCTGTGATGACTGCCCTTGTACTGTTCACCATGTAAGAACTTATTCACTATGTAAGAACTTGTTCACCATGTAAGAACTTGTTCGTTATGCTTCAGAAGATTGGAGACTGTTGAGAATTAGGCTTGGGGTTGATTAATGATTGTGCATTGAGTCCCCTATACAGAATTTTATTGTTGTTAACAACCATTTGATCAATAAATATGAGAGATGCCCTCTCAAAAAAAAATTCCCTGAGAAAGTAAAATATTTGCCTCCCTTACCATGAAAAGGAGGTAATAGGCTTCTAGACATCAAAGCAAAAGGTAAGTTGTTATAACATTCATTCCCTGATTTTTTCCTCCTGTATTCAGACTTACTCTTCAAAGCCCACCTTTTGTGTAAAACAATGATTAAAAAACAATAAAAATACGCATTTTACATTTTAATCTATCTGTGACAGAAGAATGAACAAGAATGTACCAACAGGAACGGTACTATTTCTACATTCTTCCCCAGGAAGGCCAAGCTCCTCTTTCCTGAGTGACGTCCTGCCCACCCCTCAAAGCTCATGCCAAGCTTCCTCTACTTGGTGTAGTTTCTACTGATTTCTCCCTTCTCCTGTAATTTGCACTTACTATGTTTGCCTTACAATTACTACTTTATTGCATATTGGCACAAACAAGGTTCAAATAAATATTTGTTGAGTTATTTCTGTCTCTAGCAACCAATTTAATAGTATAGAAACAAAGTTATGTCACTACAATTTGTATTGTATCAGTATGTAATGTAGGATTATCAGCATATAATTGTAATCAGCAGAGGAATAGTATCTGGCTCAGTAGTGATACTAAATATATATGGTTTACCTTCTCAATGAGACAAAGACAATTTTTTATTTTGTATTCCAGAACAACTAGCATATAAGCACATCAGATAAACAGAAATACCAGCTAAATCGATCTGCGGCTAGAAAAACTTCACCTTTTTAAAAGTTCATTGAGTGAGTACTTTGATCAGATTAAACAAAAATTTCCCTAGAAAATCGAGCCAGTGTGAAGATTTATTTGGACTAAAGGGTTATTAGTGTTTTTATATGTTTTCAAAATAGAGAATAGACACAAAGATCATTACTAGTTGGCAGGTAACATTTTACATTTTACTGACAGGAATCCTGACAAGAAAGTAAGTTTTCAGAAGTAGTAACAGTAATAGGCTAGTTTTATGACTGTACAAACTGATTACTCCTTCTGCCTTAAAAGAAGAAATACAGTCATATTATAAGTTGAATTAACTTCTAAATTTGCTGCTGGATCAAATCCAGTTATGGGCTAAATATATAAGATAAATCATTTTAAGCAAGAGGCTGCCACTGTACCGCTTGAGAACTGAAATTTACAGTACTTGAATATGTGTATTTTACAAACAAACAGAGAATCTTAGAAACTATTTCACTGGTAAGTTTAGAGTGGAACTCACTAGTAATACCTATATGCTTAGTCTCCACTTAATTATTTTCACCTATATTATTTTCAAGCATTTATAGGATTACATAACATACATACAGAGTGATATGGATTCTTAACACATAGTACATTATTAAATTTATGTTGGGCCCAATGTTTGGCCCTAGGGATGTCACAAAAGCTGATAGGGATGAGTCTGTCTAAATTGTTTTTTAAAAGCAATAGAACAAATACTGTATGAGAAAAATCAATTAACACATAATGCCTACTGAAGAAGTACAGAGAACTGAAAACTTAGAGGAAATGGGTAGCTCCTCCCCTTGACTAATGCTGAAGGGAGTAACACCTACAAGCGTAGCTAAGAAAAGGTCCTGTGATGACCTCTGGTACTCTTTTTCCATTCCTGAGTTACTCTAATTACTCTGTTCATAATTATTTAATGTTAAGGAGCAAGTAAAACAGCTTGATGTCTGAAATGTTACAGATCTAGATTTGTAACCTTGTTCTGCTGCATAAAAATGGTGTAATTTTGGGCAATCTTTTTGATCCTATTTTTTAATCCTTTCATTAATATAAAATGAAATAATAATAATGTTTATGCCCACAATAACTGAAAAGAATAAATGAAACAAGTTGAAATGGTGATTCACAATACTTGACACACAGCAGTAATTCCCTATAGTCAAGTAACTATAAAAGGAAATCAAACACTATTAATTGAGTTACAAAGAATGAGTTAAATGAGTTACAAAGAGTTAAATGAATTAATTGAGATTACAAAGAAAGAATCCATGCTTATCTAATCACTCAAAAACAGAAAGATAATACTGAGATATATAAAAATGGAAATATAAAGTATATAGGAAAGAGGTATTAAGTGAACAGAGATCCAACTTTAATTATTTACAATAGATTATAATTTCAACTCTTGATTTAATCATTGCCTTACTAAATATTTTGACAATGTTGATAAATCACAATGCAGGGAAGGGGGAGGAAGAGTCTTATGCTCTTCATTTTTTACAAGTTTATATTCTTCAGTTTCATTGTTTAACTAGACCACTCTGGCCATGGATTTGCTAGCATTTAATTTGGTTCATAGTTTTGAGAGGCACTGACACTGAAAAAACCATAAATTATAACCAAACTCAGACACATTATAGATCAAGTCACATTAATGACAAAAAACCGGATCCTTATTTCAGGTGAGATAATTATATGAATCTGTATCTTAGGTATAAGAAGTGATATCAATCACCAATGACAGATATTTATACTGAATTTTTCAAAACTATTTTCAAAGTGATACATACATGTTACTTCACTAACTTCAAATATATTTTTAAAAATATTACATTGTACCATAAGAGTCATGTGATACAAGTGCATTTTTAAATGGAATGCATTCTTTTAATATAAATTATGATCAATTAGACATAAATAATGCAAATTCTGAGGTTTCTAATACTTAAATTGGGTCTGAAAACTAAAACTGTCAGTTAAAATATAAACAAGACAACCAATAGTAAAATACATACTCATTTATTTATACTCTATTTTGAGAATGCTTTCTTTCATTGTATTTAAGTTTATATTTTCTTTTTCAAAGTGACCACCATAATGAGTCAGGTATCACAAAAAGTCGGCCACACTAATACTGCAAAACAGAACTCTTAATTATATTTAAAACTAAGTTTCAATTTTTTTTGTAAATATTGTGGTAGAGATTCTTAATCAGATAATTTTGTTATATTTCCAGAAATATAATTACTTATGAGTTACTAAAAAGTAACAATCTCTCAGAACTAAAGAAGTATTATACTGTACTTCCTAAAACTAACAAAAAATCAAGGGTTTTCAACTCTTTATATCAGTTAAATAACAATACTCTTGGAAAAAAAGAAACTAAACAGCTAGAGATATGGGTACACAGCATCAGAAGTTATCCATTCTGAACTGCTTAAGACCTCAGTTGCTATTATTGTTTTTGTGGCTAGTTTCTGCCTCTGAAAGGCTAAATCATATCTAATAGGATCATGATTTAGGGAAGACCTCAATTTTTATTCATCATAATAATATGATGTCAGAAAGCATTCAACTACAAATTCATGAGATAAAAACTCCATGTTTTAACAGCCATATTTAGTTTGTTTGAGCTGGTGAGCAGATGTAAATGTAATCTGCAGTACTATCAAATTCCAGGTCTGATAGATAGCAAGCTATTATTTATTTTTAAGTGCTCTAAAAATTATTTATGAAAGCTGAATAAAAAGGATTCCATAAATGTATTATGATTTTATTTTAACAATTATTCTACACTACAATGGAAGTACATGCTCAAACAAGACACCTCAGCAGTATTTTAAAGCAGCAACCACCTAGCCAATTTCTGTATGTTCTGTAGTTTTTCTAATCCACTCTCCCTGTGGTTGAGCAAAATCGAATTGCCTCTCACATTTGCAGACAGCTCTGTGAAGGTGATAATAGAGCTGCTCCCTGCTGTCATGAGGCAGGAAATAGGAAAATGGCATATGGGGCTAGAAAGAAAGAAATAAAAAAAAGAAAGAATGAACGAACGAACGAACGAACGAATCCCCCCACCCGCCCTCCCTCCAAAAAAACAACAAAAGGTTTTTAACAAAGGACAACTACAGCCCAATATGCTTTGCAAGTTCTTTTCAGAATCATTTAGCATATTTAATCATTCATCTGTGTCCACACTCCAAAAATGAGAATGGTTACCATGTCCTTGGGGCAAGTTTTCATTTTCTAAAATATCTGGAACATACAACTCAGAGTATGTCCTGAACAAAGTCTGCAAAACAGGGCTCTTTAAAGTAGATTTTTAAATGATGTGCCAATCCTAAATTCACCATTTTAAAGTAAAGGAAGGTAGATCAACGTTTATTAAAATACTAATAAAACGTGTATAGCAGGTTTTTAGTATGATTAACATTCCTAAATCTATGAAATTAAAAAAACTTAAGAGATAAATGTTGTGATTAGACAATAGGTGATTAAAGTAGTTAAACTGCTAATAATACCAGAACACATTTTTCGACTTGTACAAAATTTTTTGCTTGTTTGTTTGTTTTTAAAGTAAACAGGGTTTTTTTTCTATGTGTAATTAAGAATCTTGCTTTAAACAAAACAAATTTTTACAGATGTCTCTGTAAATAGAATGTCGCAGTAGATGCTAACAGAGATGGAATCTACGCTACCTTTCCTTTTACACTCTGAATAGGATCCACCACCACGGCCACAGCTCTCTCCGACAAGGCTTCGAAGCTCTGCTGAGTGTTGATATCCACACCAGAAAGCCAACAACCAAAGCCAGGGTGACTGTGATACCAACCAACAACCATCTCAGGCCTGAAACAAAGAGGGCATTCAGCTGTTCAAAACAGAGCAAATAATACTTTTATGATAGGACAAGAAACAACACACTAACGGGGTATAAATTAAGAAGAGATGAAAAACACACAGGTGTGAAAAAGCACCATTAGAAAACACTGAAATCATACACCATATTCTCCAGAAAACATGGAAATGAGTAAGCGTGACAAAGGAGTGCTATCATTAAGGGATGCACATTAGCAGTGGTAGATAAGGCTTTCAGTTTTTCACCTTGTTACCACACTTTCTCAGAGCCAGTTTTTACCCTTTCAGCATTCAAGTAAATACCTAGTCTTTAACTCCTTAGCTCTGGAGTTGGATTTTCCAGGCAGAGTACATTTTTAACAATGGACACCAGGATCCACTGTTGTGAAAGGATTAAATATCAATTAAACCAGCAGCAGAAATAGGAACTCAGTCAAAAACCAATTTGCACTGTTCTGCTCAGCTGCTAAGCCTTTTGCTAACGTTAATTTTGAAGTTTTTTCCACAGTAGAAGAATTTGAGCAAGAGAATGACAACTACTGAGAGATTTAACCTGGGAGGAAAAAGGTGAATAATATTTAGATTCCACTTTTGCTATCTTAAATGTTCACGCGCCTACAAATACAATTAAATATTCAGAATCTTATTCAGTTGCAACTCTCTCAAATACATGGAACATACAAACTTTTCAACTGTAAGTGACTGCAGAGTAACTCTTAATGCTAAACAGAGGACACCTACAGCCCAAGCTTACTACGTGGCTAACATAAGGCAGTTTTCTCACTGGCAAATTTCTTTGATTCTAGAGGGAAGATACTGGGCAGGTGGCACACAGCACTGAGAGTGATACTTTTACATTAACTACATGGCCTTGTTTTTTTAATTGGTGAACATCCAAAATTTTGAGATACACTTCTGCAACTATTTCCTATTATTCCTTCATATAATCATTTAAAAATACTTACCTTCCTGTCTGCTTCAACATATCTAACATTTTAGCTTGGAACACTGGATCAACTGCCTCCACACTGACACCCTGGTTTAGAAAGAAAGAAGAATGATTAATTTTTATAATTATGAGAAAAAAAACTTAATTACAATGTAGGTTACCCCCCAAACTTTATTACAATACAAGGTTACCCTCCAAAAAAACTATGTATATTATATTGGTATTCCAAAATGCTTTGATAGGTCTGATACCCATATTTGATACCCACCTATGTCATTGAATTATAAACTGTACATCCACAAAGGTTCTAAAGTTGCCAAATACTAAACTGCTGTTAGCTGAGTTAAGACAATTATCAAGATCCTTTAAGAGTTTATGGATTATATGACTAGGTGTGTGTGCACATATGTACACACACACCACATACCTACACATGCACACCAGAGACACCAGATAACTGAACTGACTCTCTGGGCAGGTGTTACAATCCTAACGCCATATGCTCTGATAACTGATAAGCACTGTCTCTTCCATGTCATTCAAAGTTCTATAACTACACAGCTATTTCAATAATCAACAGCCTCAAGTCTTTTTCAGTAATATAAACACTTTGAAGAAGGAAAACAATTTATTAGTTTCCCAGAGTTGTTACTGTTTGTTTCTTGGGTGGGTGGGTGAGTTGGGAAGGGAGGAATTTAAGTGCTTTGATTAGGACTACTTGATATATTAGATGGTTGGGAAAAAATATGTACTTTTGAATACCACCTGAAATATAAGAGCATTCACAAAAAGTTCCCCACTAAGAGATAATCTCTTAAATGCTGTGTTATTTTTCTAATTCAACCAAATGATGATTTTAGAATATGGAAGAATTAAAGGCACTCATGTCACCTCTCCACTGACAGCACACTGCCATCATAGGTCCCACAACATTTTCATCTAGCATCAGGAATTGCGGTCTAATCTATTTAAACAAACCGGTTAACATAAGTACTTGTTCCCACCAAAACAAACAGTATTTTGAATTCTAATTGAGAGTGTACCCTCAAAAACAGGAGTATGCAATCTGCTGCCTACACACTAAGCATCACTTTTTACATTTTTAAAGGGTTGTTTAAAAAAATAAGACAAAAATACAAGACTATGATCCAGAGACTTGCATATTTATAGAAAAAGTTTGCTCACTCTTGGGACAGAAGAAAAACTTCCTAATCCTACTATATAGTGAGCAAGGGGATTAAAATCTATTTTATATTGTTGGACAGAATTTACAAGGAAATGATAATAAACTTTTAAAAACCCTTTATAATGGACACGCACATAAGGACAATACATAACAATTAACAATTTTATTATGTATTTTATATATTCTGAAATGAAAAAATAGTATGGTAAGTCTTGACTTATGTTAAAATCTTTAGTTAATAAGTAGGATTTTTATGTCCAGATGAACAAAATAAATATGATGGATATGGTCAAAAATCAGCAGATCCAAATAACCTCAACAAACTGGTCTATTTAGAGAAAAATTTGTATATTTTTCTATATTTTGCATGATTTACAAATGTACCGCATTTTGTAGGAACTACTACATGTAAAATGCTTATTATATGGACACACATTACATTATTTAAAAATATAATTTGTTTTTCTCTAGTATCTACTTTATCAAAGTATATCATAGTAAAAATCCTCAAACAGAGCAAACAGCTTTACGACAAAAATTTCTTTAATCCAGAGATTTTACAAGGCTCAATAAGAGAAATGTTACATATTTAAGGGGAAAAATATCCATCACATACAGATTATATTTTTCCAGGCAAAAAGATGAGAAGACTATGTGTGTTATTTTTCAGAAGGTAGGTAAAATGTTTACTGTTTTTGGCCTTTTCTTTAAATCTAAATGCACAAGTCCAGTGCCTTAAACAAAACAAAAGAATTCCAGAAAGAACAATTCATTCTAAACAAACAGAATAGATGACTTTCAAAGTCTGTATAAAATATGCTTCTTGTAATAAAACAAATTACCATGCCTGGGCAAACAGAACTGAAGATTGCCATGTTTTTTTTTTTTTATTTTAAAACTTAACATTTTGAATATGAAAATCTTAAGAGTGATTTACCAACATATTTATTTTAAAAGGCCATATTTCAAAACAATGAGGACTAGATAACTGCATGAATTAAAAATCCAAGAGTCTGAAATCTTTTGAACCAAGTGTTCAAACTAATCAAACTAATACCCTATTGTTTTAGGGTAACTAACTTGTAAGTCTAGTATGTTGTTACTAAATCTGAAGGTATGAGTAAAGGGATTTAATGTTAACATCATTCAGTTTGTGGACCTACAAGGAATTTATGATGCATTTTAAAAGATGAATGACTCAATTCAATGTAGTCTAGAAATTTCTATCTTTAATCTTATGATTAATTTTTCCTATCAGGAAGAGAAAATATGATGAAAGTTACTTTGGACAGAAAAAGAAAGGGAAAAGACACACTTTACTTGCAGCAGGCAACCATAAAAATACTCACTGTTCCTGACTGTGGCATAGCAAACACATCAATCACTCGGACGGTATAATCATCAACAAATTCTCCAAGCATTAGACCCATAACTTCCATTGGAACTCCAGCACGACCATGTTTTAACATCTGTAAAGTCAAAGATATATAGACACAATGCTTTGAGATCTTTGGTCCTTTTTTTTTTTTTAAATGAATAACCTAATTTTGTTTTAGTGGAAATAAAACAACCTATTTTATGGATACACCTAAAACAACAGCTTATGTCTGAGTGGGTTAAACTGACTAATACTCCAAAGTAAAAGAGTGAAAGTAACAGAGCTCTGTAAAACAAATAACTACACTTAATACTTACTTTCAACAGTGCCAGGGAAGAAATATAGACTTGTTCTGCTGTGTCCACAGCAGGAGCATCTGTAGGTGGCCCCTAAAAACAAGCATTATCAATTATTATACATATACAGTTTATGTGTTTAAAATTGAAGTTACATTTACATGTTATATAAACATGATTGTTTTTTGGAAAAACATGTCAAGTATCCTCTTACTGAGGTACAACACAAATAAAACCAGTTTGCAAATATCAAACCTGTAGGAAACAGACCAAACAGTATTTAGGCAAGTGTCTAATGGACATAAAGCTTAAATCTTTTAGCAATGCTAACTACCTCTTCAACAAAATAACTATAATGCACCAATTTAGCCATGTTTCTTACCACAATGTGAATGTAAAATGCTGCTGGAATAGCATGATTAGCTGAAGGATCAACACAAATTGCAAATTCTCTGAGACTGATTTTCAGCTAAAGACAGCAATGTAGAGTAGGGCCATGGGATCTCTTTGCAGACACGTAAGTGCAGTGGGAGCAGGGGAACAGATTTCTAATCCCTAGGTGACAGAGCTGTGAACATCATACTATGCACTTCACCTAAGAAGTTGTTCCCTTCCACCTACACAACAACAAATTTAACACAATTGCCCCAGGTGTGAACAAACTGCTTGAGACTGATGTAGTTAACATGAAAATACTTCCAAATCCTGACCACTACCTTTAAAATAAATATTACAATTAATCTTATTACAGGCTAAGAAAGATACTATGTTTCTCCCTAAGGATTCTATCTTCTTCATCAATACACAGCTCTTTTGACTACAATATTCTGCTGCACAAAATAATTTATATATAGTTCTTACCCTCAAGATGACTACAATCTTATAAACGTGATTCTGCCCCAACCAGAACACACACAAAATTTCTTGCTTTTAAATAGTGACCAGTCCAAGAAATTAAAATAAGATGTGTCATATAATTGCCAGGTACTGTTTTATTTAAAATTCTCTTTCCTTGACAATAACCCTATTACAAATTACATAACCAGCATGTTAGCTATCCAAACTCTAAGTCAGTATTCTCTTACTTTTACAGATTTACTTACCAAAATTAAATAGTTACTTTATTCATTACATGTCACACTTATAGGTCTATGTCTACTTTGTGTTCCTTCTTGTATATTTATATACTTTAGTTCTGTGATTATTATTATTATTATTATTATTATTATTATTAGGTTATGTTTAAAAGCTCATAATATTTGCTGGAAATATTAAGTATAAAAGGTTCTAGAGTAAGTTTCTATAAATACAAGAATCACACACAAAAACAAACTGGTTTCTTATGTACAAATTGGTGAAAAAAATCAAATCCCTCAAATTTTATTTTTAATAATAAATGCCAGGCAATAAATTTAAAAACCAAGTAAATACTTCATCTATTATCACCTAATGCTTTACTGCCTTTCAAACAGATATGAATCTCTTCCAAAATGAAACCTCTGTTATATAATACCAAAACATTTATTAAGATCGTCATATAAAATACAACAACTTTGTTGGTATGATCATTTTATTCACCTAGCTAAGAAAGCTAGAAAAAAAAAATGTGAGAGTAGTAAGTTAGTTATGATGAGAGGTTTAGGGGAAGTAATACTTTAAGGTCAAGAGAATGAACACTTGTATTCCTTAAAATTATTTCCTGGATCTAGAGTAGCTTAAAAAATACATATGGAGTAAGAATTTAAGCTGTATCTAGACTACAGTTATTAAGACAGGTTTTCTCAACTTGCCAGAAAATATTTATCAAGAAAAAAAGAAGAGGAAAATAAAACATCACATCATCACCAAAATATATTACTGACAAAGTCTAGAAACTACTTGTTATCAATGAAAGAAATGACACGGTTTTGTTCACATTATATATATAACCAGTACCCAGCAAAGTGTCTGGCACCTAGTAAAACTCAACTAGTATTGGTTGAAAACAATGAAGAGACTGAGGTACTCCAAGCCAATGTAACAGAAATGAAAAATACCCACCAGTCACTCTGTGAGAGAGAACAAGGCATATATAAGGAGATATAAAGATCCTTGGTTCCTCTTTCACTATCTTCTTCTGGTTCAGAAACATACTAACAGAAAACCAGGTACTAAGAGAAAGCCATGCAGCTGTTTTTTCAGACAGCATCCAGTGATATTTCCTGTTGCCCCTCTCTTACTACAGTTACTCAATCTAGTCAGAGACTAATTACTCAGTGAACAATTTGCCAAGAAGTAGAGAAGGGTTTGTAGTGGTGAACTGCATCCTTAAAACAATAGAGAGTAACCCATGTAAAATGCTGTCTACAGGACAGATGTTAAGGACCTCTGATAGAAGTGAATATCTGAGACTATCATTTTTCTACATGCTCACCTGTTCAGAACAGCACACAACCAGGATGAAGGAGAAGAAAACCACACAAAGATCCTGGAAACTGAGCTAACAGAGAGACCTAAGAACCTATACAGCTATATATCAAATATGACCTGAGTTGAAGAAAATGTGGAGCTATTACATATATGGTCTTTTGGCAAACATTCCTGGGAATAGCATTCTTATGATTCAAAGAGAGGAAATTCATCTAAAAACAGGAATCAGACAAAATTTTAAAAAACTATTTGGAATCATTTAAAACAAAGTTCTTATCTTTGAACAGGAAGTTAAAGGACAGTTCAAGATGAAAAGAGGAAAAATAAGAATTAAAACCACACTGGAGAAAACAAGGATAAAAGCATTATGATGTTTCATTCAGTGATACAGAACACATACTTTAGAGAATGCCCTAGAATGTAGAGTAAAAAGCTAGAGATGAAACTATTAGAAATATAATGATACTAGAGTACAGAGAAAGGTGCTCTTGTTAAAAGCTCCTCATAATGGGTTTAAAATGGAAATCCATTTATATGCTGCTTATATATGAAATACAAATAACAAAACAAAAATATGACTCCATGTATCTTCCTTCAAAGAATTTCTTGAATAAATGATCCATTTGAGCTGCTATTTTTGTACTGCTCCTCTCTTGGTTCCCTAATATTAGACAAGAAAAAGAGATCTTAGTGTTGACTTGGACCATTAGAGAAGCAAGAGTCCTTTGAACAATTTAAAAATAACCACAATAAACATTAAAATTGAACGTACACCTACCAAATCACTGGAGAAAAGCAAATACAACACCAACAATAAAAAACAAAACAAAACAAAACAAAACAAAAAAACATTAGGGAACCAAGAGAGGAGCAGTACAAAAATAGCAGAAAACATAAGGTAAGATTAAATATATTAGTAATGAAAAATCCAAATGAATTAAAGTCTCTTGCTAAAAGCCCCTCATAATGGGTTTAAAATGGAAATTCATGTATATGCTGCTTATATATGAGATACAAATAACAAAACAAAAGGATTGGTGAGATTTGTCAGTAACATGCTTGTATTTCTTTTTATAAAATAAACTGCAATGGTCACTATGTTTTACTCAAGTTGCCTTTCTTCACTGATGTATCATATTTATAGACTTCCAAGTATTAAAATACTTTTGCACTTCTGGGATGAACTGTTCAAATTTGACTTGCTACTATTTCTATTTAAGGTTTTGTTTCCCTGTTCATAAATGAGATTGGCCTGGCATTTTCTTTTTTCTGCTAAGTTTGTCAATTTTTTATATCATTATACTATACTTATAAAATGAATTGGAAAGTTTTGCAATTTTCCATTTTCTGTGTTCTAATAATGTTTATATATACTAAATTATCTGTGCCTTAAAATTTGGAAGAATTCATCTGTAAACTGTTTGACTGAAGCTCATTTTAGAGATAATTGTTATAATTTTTTCAGTAGTATTAATAAACTCTGGTTACCCGTGTCTTGAAACTATTCTACTGTTCCAGAAAGTTTCATTTAGATCTCAGAGTTACTACCACAGCATTGAACATATTCTATTTCACTTTTAATTTTAAATTAATATTGAAAATATTTAAATCTGAATTTGTTTCTCTGTATCAGATTATATTCACCAACCAGATAGATTAAAGATTTACATTTAAAAATACTCAAACCATAACAAAACCTACACTTAAAATATTTGGTGAAGGGAACACTTTCAAATTCATTCAACAAGGCCAGAATTACCCTGATACCAAAGCCAAAGACACTACAAGACAACTAATTATCTTCTATGAAGACACAAAAATCCTCAACAAAAATACTAGCAAACAGATTTTGGCAGCATAGTAAAAGAATTATACATGACCAAGTAGGATTTATTCCTACAATGCAAGGATGGTTCAACATATGAAAACTGACCAATGTAACATATTACATCAACAGAAGAAATAAAGGAAAAAAGCCTAACATCATCATTTCAGTTGATGTAGAAAAAGCATTCAACAAAATTACAAAAATACTAAAACAAGGAATAGAAGAATAAAAGCCATATATGAAAAACCCACAGTGAACATAATACTCCATGGTGAAAAACTGAAAGCATTTCCTCTAGATCAGGAACAAGGCTAGGATGCCTTGTTTCACCACCTCTTCTCAACACAGTATTGGAAATTCTAGCCAGAGCAATCAGGCAAGAAAAAGAAATAAAACACATCCAAACCAGAAAGAAAGAAAGAAGTAAAATTATCTCTGTTTTTCAATGATGATTTTACATGTGGAAAACTCTAGATTCCACACAAAAAAACTCTTAGAACTAACAAATAAATTCAGCAAAACAGCAGGCTATACAAAGTCAACACACAAAAATCTGTTGCATTTCTATATGTGAACAATGAACAATCTGAAAAGAAAATTACAAAAACAATTCCATTTATAATAACTTAAAGAATAAAATACTTAAGAATTAACTTTAATCAAGAAGGTGAATGACTTGTAAAATGAAAACTACAAAACAGTGCTACAAGAAACTAAAGACATAAATAAATGGAAACACATCCCATGTTCATGGATTGAAAGACTTAATATTGTTAAAATGTCACAACTACCCAAAGTAATCTTCAAATTCAATGCAATCTCTATCAAAATCCCAATGATAATTTTTGCAAAGAGG